CGGACCCTGTCTGAGGGATGTACTGTTTGGCCCCCCAGCCTGAGAGATGGAACACTTGGCCAATTAGTAAGAGGGAAGCACAACAGCCACTCGGTCTTATCTGGATTGAGTACAAGCTTGTTTCATGGCATAACTCACTCCCCAAATCTCAAGCAAATAGTATTATGGCATGTTGTAATCTACTTACTTTAGGAAAAGGCTAGGGAACTGTAACACTTCTGCGGCAGCCAGAATTCCTAGAACATCTTCTTCATTCACTTCTGATTCAGAATTGTACATGTACTTGAGGGCAACAGCAAAGGCTTCATCATATCAACAGAATATGCCAATAAACATGTGGTTACAAATATAATAAGATGTCAGCATTGCTCCCGGACAGAATATTCATTCAGATTACTATAAAATGTCTATGGAAATTCTCAATCACCCAGATCATAGTTGTCTTAGAAGTGCTTTTTTCCCCCCCCTCCCCTTCAAAAGGCAACAGGATTCTCTTTAAAACGCCATTACTAACTTAACAGTTGCAGCGATCCACTTAACGACTGGCACAAGAAAGGTCGTAAAATGCTCACTTAGCAATTGTCTCATTTAACAACAGAAGTTTTAGGCTCAGTTGTGATCGCAAGTTGAGGACTACCTGTATTTATTATTTTTTTTAAAAAGTCAGTTTTAAAAGACCCTAGAACAGTGATGATGAACTTTGTTTGGCTCCCGTGTCAAAAGCAGGGGGAGCATAGGGAGGTTATGTGCTGGAGCATGACACCCATAATGCTGTGTGCGTGACCCCCCCTGCTTTTGCCTTGGTTTTTTCACCCTCCCCAGGCTCCAGAGGCTTTCTAGCACCCTGTGGAGGGCGAAAACAGTCTCCCCTGCCCCGCCCTCCAGAGGACTCAGGAGCTTCCCTAAAGCCTCCGGAGGGCAAAAAATGGACCTACAGGGAACCCGGAAGTCATAATTCCTGAACTTCTGGGTTCTCCGTAGGTCCATTTTTTACCTTCCGGAGCATTCAGGGGCCTTCAAGAGGCTTCTCTGAAGGCTCCGGAGGGAGAAAAACGGCCCTACGGCCAAACCGGAAGTCGGTTCCTGAATTTCTGGTTTGCCCATAGGGCCAGTTTTTCACACTCTGGAGGCTTCAAGGGCGAAAAACAGCCTCAAAAGAAGGCCAAAGTCAGCTGGCCAGCGCGCGCATGTGCACTGGCCAGCTGACAGGGCAACGCCTCACGCGCCCACAGAAATGGCTCAGCGTGCCACTTGTGGCATGCATGCCATAGGTTCGCCATCATAGCCCTAGAAGATGAAGTGGGAAAAGATTTAAAATATACTAACCAGTATTGGTAGTATAATGCGAGATATAATCTTTTCTCTGATAGTGGCTTGTGAAACACATTAGCAATAGCAATAGCAATAGCAGTTAGACTTATATA